CATTGTTTCCATCTTTTGGCAATTATGAATAATGTTGCTAAGAGCATTGATGTAATTATGGGCATAATAATGGGCAGTCTCCCTCCTCTGTCACCAGGCTACCCTCCACCCCCACAAACCCCATGCTCTGAGAAATCAAGTATTTTGCAAGTAATGGCCCCTGGAAATCTAGATAAGTACATCATATTATTTCCAAGTGTCATCACTGATTTTACCAAGATAGCAATAGAGATGGAAAGAATTAGGAGAGACAGTATAAACAATCTTGAACCAAATGGCTTTTTTTTGTCTGTTTGTTAAACTAAGGTAAAAAATATTTTGCTGTTTAGTGAAGTCATAAAAAATGGTCATGGTAGAGGGGCATTTTTGACATTGAGGTGAGAAATATAGATACATCATGTATTTATTCCATCATTTGCCCCTTTCTGCCTGGAACATAAATTCAGTGAGTTCAGCCACTTGCTGCTCTATTTTGTCTCCCGAGACAGAGCACATAATAGACACTCAATAAATATTTATGAAATAAGTGGTTAAATGAATGATTGTAATGAGCCCTTTTTATATCTCAGGCATTGTGAGAAGTATTATAGGATATCAAATAACATCTTCCCTGTCCACATAATGCTTTAAGATGAGCTAGTAAATTAGAAACACGCTACAAGATAGCTATAAATAAACTGCAATGGGTATGTAGGAAAGTAAGAGATTACTTGCACTTATGGGTTACAAGGAAAGTTGCAAAGATAAGCTGGTTGTAATGGAAAGAATTTCAATGTGTAAAAGCATGAAAGTACCTTCTGTGGGGAGGTTAGAAGTATGAGCTCTTAGCAAGAAGCATAACAATGAATTAGTTTCCTGAGCTCCCATTTTGTTCAATAAACTTCACTCTTTTCTTCATTTAAGATTCACAACACCTTCCATTTTCCTATCCCTAGAAATTTTTTTTGCTTACACTAAAGGTAAGGAAACCCAAACCTACATATTATTTCCCTGGGAAAACCTGGATTTGAATCCAAGCCTTCAAATCCCATAGCCTGTGATCCCATCCACTAAATTATATTTAGTTTGTGTTAATTAGGTTATTTGGCACTAGCATTTAAGGTATAAGTGTGGGTGAAGACAGGAAGGATAAGAATGAAAACATTGCAGGGTTAAATTGTGGCGAAAATTAGGTTTATCAGTTTTCCCTCTCTTGGCATACCAAAAGCCTTTCTACACTTAAATTATAGTGAAGTTCTTTGGATGGACTATCTAGGTAAAAGTTGTAGCGTATGGTTGGGAAAATAGATTGATTATAGTTACTTTCACCAAGGTTCTTTATTGCTCTTTTGTATATGTTTAAGTTTGACTCTATAGATGTATATTTTGAACTGTGTTTTTTAAATGATTTAGCTGAATTGTTTAAACAGAACTCTTTTAAAATACTATTCAGTTTAAATTTATCCTAATACTTTGTTACCTATAAGAATACTTGTCTTTCAAATCATAACTCAAAATTAACATAATCAATAATAAAGCACATATATCTCCACTAGTTAAGAAATATTATGAACTAATGAAAGAAAATACAGAAAAGAACCATGTATTCAAATCACAAGGGTATTTGAAGAAAGGAAATGTTCCAAATGAGTAGCAATATTTATAAATTGTATAAAGTATGATTTTGATGGACAGCTGAGGATTGCATGAATAAGTTTAAATTGTACAAAAACACTAAAATAAGTAATTTTTATCTTTCCATTTATGTTTGAAAGAGACTCTTCTATAATATTTTCTCATCTTTCTGTGGGGATAAAAATGTTGATCCATAACTTGAGTTGTCTGGATGGAATAAAAACCAAGGTATTTTACCATTAAAACCAGGTATTTTACCATTAAAACCAGGTATTTTACCAAATATTTACCAAGGTAAATTTTTCATTCCTCCTATTGCTACTCTAGCAAATAATACATGAAAAATAATGATAAGGAAAGCAGAATTATTAACTCAAAAGGGGTCCTAGGGATTACTGTGGTAACAAGTTTAGTTTGCCAGTGGATGTGATGGTTAAATTTATGTGTCAACTTGTCTAGGTTTAGATATTTCTGTAAAGGCTGCTGTAGCTGTTTTTAGCATATAAAATTATTTGACTTGGGTAAACCAGAGTACCTGCTGTATTGGGTGGGCCTCATCCAATCAGTTGAAGATCTTAAATGCAGAGACAGATTTCCTGAAGAATTCTGCTTTAAGACTGCAACATAGAAATCATACCTTGGTTTCCAGCCTGTTGGCCTGCTTTTCAGATTCACCAGCTCTCATAATCACATGAACCAATTACTTAAAATCCCAATCTCTCATTCTCCCCTTTCCCCATCTCTCATCTATATGACTCGATAGCTATATCTGACTCTGGAGAACCCTGACTAATACAGTGGGCAAAGGAAAGTCTGATGAAATGACATGATTTTTCTAATGTCTTTTAGTGATTTATGACAGAGCTGGTAATAGAAAGATGGGGAAACTGAGAGATAAAATTGCCTAAAATCTAGATTATGAGGCCAGGAAGGAAATCCAGAAGTATAACTTTCAGCCCTGACTTTTCTAGTGGATTACATTTAGAGAAATCTAAGCTATTATGTGAAATCAAATACATTAAAAATTCTGAAATTCAAAGCACATTATGCATGGGAAGAATTGTTTATCTGCTTCACCAAAAGATAACATGTATGATTGTTCATAGAGGCAAACTTTCTTCAACATTGAAGGTGGTTTCATTTAAAAACAAAACACAATACTTTGGAACCTTTTAGAGACACATAAATTCAAATCACTTAACAAGACATGTTTTTAAAAATACATTTTGGGTTCTCCCTGGTGGCGCAGGGTTTAAAGACAGCTCTATCAAACTTTCCCCAGCTACTGCAGCCAGGAGGTGACTCACTTTGTGCAGCAGACCTCTCCTGTCTTGCCTGCTGTGCCCCTCAGCAGTGTATTTCAGTCAATACGCAGGTTCTGTTCCTTGCTCTGTCCCTGGTGAGTCCTCTCACCCTCCACGCCTCTGGTCTATACCCCAGCTCTTGTATGCATAAATAAATAAATCTTTTAAAAAATACATCTTATTAAAAATATTCCCCAAATTCAATAATTATTTCATCCTCTTGACCATTAATAAGCCTGAAGTCTAGAAAAGACAAAGAGAGGAAAATACTCATATGTTGCTAAATTTTATTTTTGTTGCAATATTTAATAAACACAAATTTCACATTTTGTATGATGCTTTGATAGCAAAGTGCTTTCATGTACGCTCATTCCTGAAAACTTTGCCTTATGAGTTATTATCATCATTTTGCAATGGAGACAAGTAGGGTTGACAGAGACTAGGGAACTTACCCACACTGCTCAGAGACAGAGCCATTGATTCCATATCTAAGGTCTCCTTGTTGTCCTGCAAGATGCCCACAGAGCAACCTTACCTCTAGGGGGGAGCAACCTTAACTCTAGGGGGGCTGGAGTCTCTTGACCAAGAATCTTGTAGTGAGCTAAATTCTCACTTTAATCAAAAGGCGATGAGGATTCTTCTGTGCTAGCAAAATACCAAGATCTACCTTGGGAAAAATTCCATATATGTCTTCCTCATTCTTGAAGATAACCATATTTCCATACTTTGTCCACTTGAAACTGTGAATTGATTTTATGAGACAATGGAAAATTTAATCACAAGGAAAAGGCATTACCTCTTCTCCAACTTTTCCACATTGCTGCTCATTTGGAATCAATATTTGGGATTTGCATCCTTGTATGATAATAAAAGCAGTCATTTTTTTTATGCTATGTAGTTTATTGAAATGAAATGATTACTCTCATGTTTTATTGTTCTCTCTCCTACATTGGTTTTCATGCCCCCAACCAAATGGCATTTACTTTCGGAAAAGGATTTACATACTTTTGGATCAAGGAATAGAAACACCTCTATTGCATCTATATTTTCTGGGTTGCAGAGATCTAGCACATTTTCATTTCACTGCATATGTATTTCCAGTCAGGCCATCTCTAGACTCATTACATTTGTAAGACTTCATTCTCTTCTCTTTCCCATTTGAGAGCAGGTGGACCAAGACAGTTCTTTGGAAGCTCAATGAGTGATTTCTCTTGAGAAAGGCACATCTCTCTAGTCTGCCAAGGAATGAAAATTCAGACAATCGCATAGATCATTTTGAATGGTGCCAAATAAATTCCACCAAATGCTACTGGCAATAATTACAGAGTGTCACTGGGAAATGTGGTGATTTTTTTCTAGCACTAGGCATCAGTCTTGTGCTGAGCACCACAAAAAATGACCTAGAGACAGGCAGCTTTCTCCACAGAAATAACATAGTGTCCTCAGGGAAGTGAAGGAGATGAAGTGCTTCTTTACCTTAGAATGTCTGCAACAGGATGCCAAGGAGTAAGATTAAGTATCAACCACCTAGATGGCACTGCCCTTTGCTAGCAACTCACTTATCAACTCCAAAATTTAGGCAAAGTGGTAGATCAAGACCACCATTTTGGTATAAGCAGGAAGGGTCCAGCTAAGCTGACCTAAACGGTTACAGCTTGCAAAGCTAAGCTGACCTAAACGGTTACAGCTTGGTAAGAATGGAAAGTCTGGAAAGCCAGGTTGAGAGTTCTCTCCCTGGAAGATGATACCATCCCAAAGTCTACTAAGATTTTAGGTTCAACTGCAAGACTCTTTTATACAAAGAGGACCAGGAAGTCACATCAAAGGGCCCAGAAAGACCCTGGGCAAGGCAGACGGATGAATGGCGAGAAAAGGCCAAGACGCAGAGGAAGGATGAGGCGGGAGGAGGGAGTCGGGAGCGAGCCATAGGAGGACAGAGCTGAGCGCGCACGTCAGGAACAAAAGCTCCAGCGGAGTCTGGCGGAGGCACTCAGGGAGCATGGGGTGTTTTGAATAATTATTAAAATTAGCATGTGTCTGCGCCACCCTGTGGGTGTGGCGCAGAGCGAGTGTAAACTCTAGCGGGGCTGGAGCAAACCCTGGCTTAGCGGCTGCAGCCAGCCAGCCTGCCCAGGAGCGCGGGGACCAGCGCGCGGCGCGGCGACCGGCACGATGGCCTCGTCTCAGGGGAAGAACGAGCTGAAATTCGCCGACTGGATGGCAACTCTGCCCGAGAGCATCCACAGCATCCCCCTCACCAATTTAGCCATCCCAGGTAGGCGCGCAGGGGCTGCCGGCTATGCGCCCGGCGCCCGCTCCACCTGCCCCGCCCTGCTTCATCTGCCACTAAGTGGTAACTTGCCACCGTGCCCGCGGGAGGGAAACTCATCTCCGGGGTGGATCGCGGGTCCGGCGAGCGCCCCAGGAGCCTCCGGCCTCCTGGCATTTTCCAAACCTCTGGGGACCATGGCGCGGGAGTCAAGGTGACTGCCTGCCTTCCCGCTGGTCTTTGGAAGCAGCTGCGCTGCGAGAACGGGGCCAGGGGGAAGGTTGGACTCTACGACGATGCCTCATACCCCCCACCCCGATTTTCCCTGCAGACTTGGGGCGTAGGGGCGATATCAGGGTCTGGGGGTGGCCGCGCGCGGCGAGCACAGGCTGCGTGCGCCCTAAGGGCTCGGCTCGTGGACTCCCGACTCATTCTCTGCCACAGGATCGAGCGGGTTTGTAGATCTTGATTAGAATCTACCCGAGTCATTAATATTCGCCCCCCAGTCTCCTTTAAAGAGACAAAGCACTTCCCCGAGAGTGATGAAAGTTGAGGGACCGGTGGCGGCGTGGTCGCTGCCCTTGGCTGGGAGCGAGAGGGGCGAAAGGCGGGGGCCGCCTTCCTGGTGCGTGGACTCCGCGGGCCTGGTCTGGGGGGCCGGCTCTGGAGTCTGGTCCAAGTGCTGTTAGTACCCAGAGCGCCCGGGTCGGGAGAGCAAACCTGTCCGACAGTGCGTTTGCGGCTCGGGACTGAAGCCCGGCGGGGAGACCTGCTTGAGCTGCAGCCGAGGGTGGGGTGAACCCGCCGAGCTCCGCAGGAGAAAGGTGACTGCGCCGTGTCCAGACTGCATGGAAGGCAGGAAGGCGGGGGGAAGCGAGGAAGACACTGGAGCGTTCCAGAGGCTTCGGCTGGCTTGGTGCGCGAGGCTTGAACCCGAGGAATGGGCAGGTGTCTGGAGAGCGAGCGCGCAGCAGCCCTAAGCTCAGGTGTGCGGGAGGGAGGCTTCTTTCAGGACAGTTTCCCCGGGTCACGGTTGGGGACACCACCATACGCTCGTATCAATTTGACTCTTCACTTGGGCTGAGAGAGCGGACTCCTGAGATCCAGGTCCGGCTCGAGGGCGCATTCCCGACAGGTAGTCTGTCCCCAGCCTAGAGCTTCGTGGATTTTCAGGTTCAACCTGGTGGTATACCTCTTCTCGATCTGACCCATCCAGCGCCCCCTCGCAGCCACTGGGGGAAATCATAACACTAAAGAAATGGGGCCGGGGGAGGTGGAGAGGAAAAGAATGGTTCCTTGAAAATCCCAAGAGGCTGTAACCTGCAGAAGTAGAGATGATCCTTAATTCAAGTCAGTGGCCATTAGGCAAGTGAATGGCCACCGTGACAGGCACAGTCTAAACACCGTGAGCGCCAACCTCAGGAAGGAAAGGTTTGTCTCCTTTTATCCTTCTTTAGGACGTACCTTCCCAAGAGCCCAGGTATCTCCAAGGAAAAGAACAACCCAGCTTCTCCAGCTGCCACACAACCTGGGCCAGCACCGCGATTGCTCTTTTTTTGGGCACAGTAGAAAGTACACAACTTTGCTGGCAAAATTACATGGTCACTTCCACAGGCATTCCTAGTCTCTTTTCTTCCTTCCTTCCTTTTTTTTTTTTTCTCCCTTTTGCTTATTAGAAAGTTACTTCCACATGCTCTCACCTGAGCATTTCTCCACACACAGAAGCAAAGAAGGTTAAGGACTCTAATAAGCAACCCTCTAGAGATACAGTTCACATTGCTAGTTCTGAGGGATAATATGATACCATGTCTGAATCTATCTTACTTTTCTGCAATTCATTACTTTTCTTTTCTTTTTTTAAATTTATTTATTTTTTTAAATTTATTTAAATTTATTTATTTATTTAAAGAGCTGGGGAATAGGCCAGAGGTGCGGTGCGGGGGTGGGGGGGGGTGGGGTAGTGAGAGGACTCACCAGAGACAGAGTGGGGAGCAGAACAGGTGGATCTCCTGAAATACACTGCTGAGGGGAGCAGTGGGCAAGTCAGGAGAGGTCTGCTGCACCATGTGGGCCACCTTCCTGGCTGGAGATGGAACTTGTGCTGCATTGGCTGCAGATTGCTTCAGAGTGCTGCGACTTAACCCCTACACCACCAGGGAGGCCCCAATTCATAACTTTTCAAAGACTCAGTATGTACATGAGATCACGTAATCCTTCCCCAAATCTTGTGAAGCTGGCAGTGCTGGTACTACTATCTCCATCACATAATTACCATATTTGAATCTCTGTGAAGGTAACTATGAACTGTCAACCGGTGATTCAACTATAGCAGTCCTAAGGAAGATTTAGGAATTTTGGAGGGAAATAATTTGGGGTTGTATCTGGATGATTCAGCAGCAACAAGAGGCAAAAAAAAAAAAAAAAAAAAAAAAAAAGGAAACAGATGTTAGCAGGAACCAGACAACTTTCCTCTTCTTCCCATGGAACAAAGTAAGAAACTGAGTTCAGAGACTTTGCTATTCTGGTTATCTTAGAGTAGGACATAAAGTTGGTGGCATGGGATAAGCCAGAAATTTCCATTGCTTCCCCAGCCCCTCTACTTTTATACTTGTAGGGTCCCTTGCAGGCCTCCCACTGTCTTCCCAAACACTTCTCAGGAAAATATTTTTTTTCCAAATCTATATCCTTGAATTCCCCCATGATTCTGTAAAGTAGGTTTGAGGTATATATATAGTCTTAGGGAATACACACACATTTAAAATGAGTTTAGTATCTCTGTATTACTCAACTGTGTGAATTATTGGAGGAAAAAAAGACATTCAAACTTCGATAGAGCAGTCTAATTGGAGACTATTAAACACTAATGGAATAATTGCCTTAAAATCATGCTAATAGCTTCCTGCCTGCTACATGTTTACTTGGCCAGTTGCTACAGCTTGAATTAAGTAATTATCTCCACCATTTAAAACCACTCCTGATGCACCACACAAGTGTTTCTGTGGAAGGAAACTGCTGCTTGGTCATCCTCAAAGCTTCAGGTTTTCTTAGGTGAAGCAACTGGAGAGTGAAGAGTGCCTGATTATGAGGCTTCCCCTTGGGGCAGCTGACCCAGATTACGCAGGGCTGGTGAGCAGAACAACTTGCGGGTGTGATAGTCCCTGCTGTGTGTGCAGTTCTGGCATCTCAACATTTCTCATTTGTCGGCTTCTTGAGTGCTTTCAGAACCAAATCTCTGAGTGATTGTTTTGCATGTAAGTGACCTCATATTTGGTATTGACTGAGGACTAAGGAATACAATTAATAATTGGGATTAGTAGTTTTACTTTCAATTTAGTTTTCAAAGGAATGGTACTGTCAGATACATTGACAAACAAGCATTTATCATTTCTGCTCTCTGATGACACCAAGCCCGTTTTTATTCATATACATTTGTTTAATAACACTTGGGGTTATAAATGATGCTTCCTCTCACCACACATGAGTGAGAGCATTTACAGGGATAGAAATAGGAGGGCAAAGTATAATATACTGGTGAAGTGAGTTTGATGAATTTCTAAATCTCTGAAGCAGAGTTATAATTCCATAATCAGTACTATGGTAAAGAGATTCCTTGTGGGAGCAAGCCAGCCATTGCTTGAGTTATAGGGTGTTGGTGATCTGGGTCTGTGGCCTTTATCTCAAATCTTAAAGATCAGGGAAGGGTTTTTATTCTGGCAGGGTCTGCTATGCACTTGCTGTTGTGTGATGAAAGTCTTCCTCACATGGCAAACTGACCATGTGATAATGAAAGATTGGTCAAAATGTTTGGAACTGCAACCTCAGAGACAGTGTATGTTCCTTGAATGGGTATTGCTGATGGTGCTTTAGATAAGGAATAGAGAAAATGCCAACATCCATGAAAATAAGGAATTTTACTTGAGAAACTTATCTCTGGGTTCTTGTGTCTGCTTTTATTATTTATTTAATTTCTTCCCTCACAGAAATCTCTTCTTGTTATTGCAGTTGTTCCTGGAGCCAACTGTCTTCTTCCCTTTCCTTGTCATTTACTATTGCTGTTTTGATTGGGATGAGACAACAGGACAAATCTGGAACTGGATCTGATTGTATGAATTTCTTTTAAAAGGCAGAATTTATTTTACATCCTTTTAGTCAGGATAGTGTTGTTCAAGTTCAGATTTCTATGCAATCAAAGACCAATGCAGTTCTTCAGCATGAATCTTGCCTTTCCAATTTTCAGGTTTTTTTATTTTCCTAAAAGGGAAAAATTGAAGATTATCTGGAACAGAATTTATTCTACTGTGACTTTTTCTTGATGAGTTAAACTGAATCATCAAGTGATTCCAATGTCATTTCACAGTTTAGAAAGTTTTCTGATATACACATGTGATTTTCATATATTTTCTCAATAAACTTCTGAGGCCTTGCTACTCATAGCTGGTTCAGGGATGAGCAGCGTCAACGTAAATGGGAGTTTGCTAGAATTGCAACTTCTTAGATCCCACTTCTTGGACCTGTTTAGTTAGTTTCACCTTAACAAGATTCCCAGGTCATTTACATACACAGTTAAAGTTTGAGAAACACTGCTTTAGGGTATCTCTAAGAGGATACTTTATGGAAGTGTCAGAGCCACATTTAAATATAGCTCTTTGACTAAGCTCTTCCCATTGGACTATGTAGTGTGGCTTTCCATATGCATTCAAATTTACAATCAGCCTTACAGCCAGAACCTCATATTTGATTCAAGATTAATGACCCAGGTTGGGAACATTTCTGATATAGTTTGTCATGTACCGTGAACAATACATATTATTTAATTGCTGTGTAAGTGTTCAAATTAAATCACTGTGATAAATGTAAAACATTTCCCCTTATTTCCTTAAAGTTCTCCTGTTCATTGAGATCAGTCATTAACAGCACTTAAAATCTGACCATCTGGTGATGCTAGTGGTCATTAATGAGAATTTAGAAAGCATCTCTGGCTTGGTTCTTTGTCCATTGGGTTTCAT